TGGGGGGACACTGGGGGGACACTGAGGGGACACCGAGGGGACACTGAGGAACATTGGGGGGACACTGGGGGGACACTGAGGCGGCATTGGGGGGACACTGAGGCGGCATTGGAGGGACACTGAGGAGACATTGAGGGGACCCTGGGGTGACACCAGGGGGACACTGAGGGGGACACCGGGGGGACACTGAGGGACATTGGGGGGACACTGAGGGCACACCAAGGGGACGTTGGGGGGACATTGAGGGGACACCAGGAGGACATCGAGTGGACACCAGGGAGACACTGGGGGACACCAAGGGGACATTGAGGGGACACCAGGGGGACACTAGGGAGACACAGGGGGACACTGAGGGGACACCAAGGGGACACTGAGGGGATACCAAGGGGACACCAGGAGGACACTGGAGGGACACCAAAGGGATGCTGGGGGGACACTGGGGAACACCAAGGGGACACCAAGGGGACACTAAGGGGACACTGAGGGGACATTGGGGGGACACCAGGGGGACACCGGGGCTGTCCCCGCGGCCACTCACGCTGCCGAAGACGGGCAGCTCCTTGTTGAGCAGCTCCTTGAGCTCGGCCTTGCTGAGCTTGAACTTGTCGCCCTCCTTGGCCGAGTACTTGTGGAAGGTGGTGACCATGATGGCCATGGCCTGCTCCAGGGGACACGCCATCGCCGCCTGCGGGCACGGCCGTCAGCCCGGCCCACCGCCCGGGTTTGGGGTGCGGGGTGGGGGCAGTGGGTCTCACCGGCCCACCGGGTGAGTTTGGGGTGAGGGCAGCGGGTCTCACCGGCTCACCGGGTGAGTTTGGGGTGCTCGGGGAAGGGCAGCGGGACTCACCGGCTCACCGGGTGGGTTTGGGGTGAGGGCAGCGGGACTCACCGGCTCACCGGGTGGGTTTGGGGTGCGGGGTGAGGGCAGCGGGACTCACCGGCTCACCGGGTGGGTTTGGGGTGCTCGGGGAAGGGCAGCGGGATTCACCGGCTCACCGGGTGGGTTTGGGGTGCTCGGGGAAGGGCCGCGGGACTCACCGGGCGGGTTTGGGGTGGGGGCAGCGGGACTCACCGGCTCACCGGGTGGGTTTGGGGTGCTCGGGGAAGGGCAGCGGGACTCACCGGCTCACCGGGTGGGTTTGGGGTGCTCG